GTGCCACCAGCGCCAGAGCCTCCAGCTCAAGTAGTCCCAGGCTCCGTAGGGTCTCCAGCTCTAGCGCCCCCAGCACCACCAGTCCCGGCAGCTCCAGTACCCCTGGTACGAGCACCTCCAGGACCAGTAGACGCAGTACCTCCAGTACCACCAGCTCCAGCAGTAACTCCAACACCTCCAGCTATAGTAGCTCCACTCCGAAGGCGTGCGCGCCGAATAAGCCACTCACGCAGCTGCTGCTGAGACAGTCTCGGCGAAGCACCAGCAGAACCTCCAGACAAAGCAGCACCCTAAGGCTCAGCACCATCAGGCTCAGCACCCCTAGTCTCAGCACCCCTAGGCTCAACACCCCCAGTCTCAGCACCCCCAGGCTCAACACCCCCAAGCTTAGCACCCCTAGGCTAAGCACCCCTAGACGCAGTACCCTCTAGCAGCACCTGAGTCTACAGCTACCTCACCAGGCACAGCACCAGGAGGTGGGTCTACCTACGAGACTCGTGAGGGAGCAGGACCCTGAGGAGGGAGGGGGTCTACCGGAGGGGGACCTGGAGCAAGGAAGAGCGGCGGGGGAGAGAGAGGGGCAGAGCGGTAGGGGAAGAGACAGTAAAAGGGAACCTACTCGTCAAACGTGACGTCCTGAGAGGGGAGGACACGGCGCGGGGTAGGGTGGTTAAACTGCCAGCCAAGCGCGTCAGGGACAAAGCCAAGGAAGACGCAGGGCGGAGAGCTTGTCCGCGGACGTATCATGGACAAAGGCACGAGAACCCCAGACCCGGAACACCGACGCATCGCCAACCTTCCCCGTCCAACGCAGTGTGGGCGAGGTCTCCGGCAAGAAGACACGGGGCCAGAGGTTGAGCTGATGCGCAGCGTACCAGACCGCAAACGGCGACAGAAAATGGGGAGCAGCCGCATGGATCATGGAGGTACGAGCGACCTCCATGACTAAGCCAATGCGGCGCTCAGCAATCCCATTTTGCTGAGGGGATTCCGGAAGCGTGAACGACTGGAGAATGCCCTCCCCACGACAAAAGTCCCTCAAGAGGTTGGAGGAGAACTCACCACCTCTTTCAGAGTGCAGACATAGGACAGGAAGGTCCGTACTGAACCGCTCGCGGAGCTGGAGACGGACTGTGCGGATCCAACGGGTCAAGACATCAACGACCTCACCCTTTCTGCGCAAGGGGAAGACCGTGGTGTACTGCGTGTAGTCGTCAACGACCAGCAGAATGTAGCGCTCGCGGCCCTGTCCACTGACGCGCGCTGGGCCCCACACGTCCATGTGGAGAGTCTGCAGGGGAGCAGTCGTCGAGGGAAACGAGGAGGAGTGAGGAGCGGCGCGCTGCCGCCCCTCAACGCAAGGAAGGCAGGGCGGGGCAGGCGAGGGAGGGAGGGGAGGCAGAGACCTAGGAAGACCAGAAACAAGGAGACGGCAATGCATGCCATGAAGGCGTGGCATAGAGGGGTGACTTAAGCGGTGGTGCCACAGAAAGGTCTGGTGCGACAGGAGGCGACACGAGCAAGGGGGTGGAACCTGACCTGACGCGGACACTTGAGCAGACGCATCTACCTGAGAAGCCTCGGTAGCGAGTGTGTACAGACTTGAACCTGGCCGACGAGTGAACGTGTCCAGGTGACGACCCGTCCGTGTACACGTGCAGATCGACACACGCTGACCTCCATGAGTGGTGGTAGTGACCGTCGCATCCTGAAGGGCAGCCGTACTCACCAAGTTTGTAGAGAACGAGAGGAGGTGAAGACCTGATAGTGAGCCTGATGGAACCGCCGGACACAGGAGGACAGTGGAGGAACGGGCAACGACCGGGCCCCCGGAGGGGTCAGCCAGTCGGACCGGGACAGGTGCAGGGAGAGGATTGAGATTGGTGCTGTCACGAAAGAAACAGCGTGAAGGTGTGCAAGGCCTCAGCAGGCACAGTACTAGGGAGAAGAGACTCACCAGCACCTAGAGCAGCAGCGGTTATACCTGGGTCAGGCGGCACACACCAGTAAAAGTCACCCTCAGCACTAACAGACAAAGCATACATAGCAGAAAGAATAACATCAAAGTCTAGGTCAAAGATAGCAACTCCAGACCTAAGTCGATCAGCCCAGCGAGGGAGCTCGACCTCGTCACCAAACTCAGCACGCCAAGTGTCGTCGAGGCGGGAGAAGCAGCGGTGCTGAGTGTGAAGCCTCCCGCATGTCTGACTAGCACGGTCACCCATGCGAATGACATGCAGGCAGCTACCACTACCCCCAGACGCCCCACGCGGAAACAACCACTCACGAAGCTGCTGGGGCGACTGGGTCTCGCTCTGACGCTGATGCTGCTGCCGCTGGCCACCTCCAGAACCTCCATGCCGAGCGCCAGTCCTACCACCACCAGTCCCACCGCCGCCACTACCGCCACCCCCACCGCTGCCTCCACCGCCGCCACCAACGCCCCCACTCCCGCCACCACTCCCATCGCTGCCACCACCTCCACTGCCTCCACTACCTCCACTGCTGCCCCCACCACCACTCTCGCTGCCCCCTCCACCACCCCTGCTACCCTTGCCCTTGCCGCTACGGCGTTTCGCACTAGTAGAAGCAGCTCCAACGTCCTCAGCACCAGGGACGTCTGCAGCAGCGGCAGAGGTGTGGAGGGGGCAAGGGGGGACGGGGAGCACCCCTCAAAGAAGGGCGGGCGCAGAGTGCCACGAGCAGCACCTACAGCAACTGCATTAGTCTCAGGTGCAAGGAGGTGTTGCTCGAGTAGGTCAATAGTGAGGGAGGTGGGGTCAAGTGAGAGAAAGTTATCCTTGACAGAGCGAAGAGAGTCAGGGAGGCGAGTGACAATGAAGTAGAGGGTAATGAACATTGGAGGCTGGTTCCTGTCAAGGAACTCAGCAAGGACGGTAGCGCGGTAGCGAGCGTCACTAGCGCACAGGTGGGAAACAAGGTCCTCTACCGTGGCAAAGGTTGACAGCTCGGGGAACAGGTAGGGCAGAAGCAGGCGGCCTAGAGCAGCAGTGGTAGGCGAGGAGTAGCGAGCGACTACAGCGTCGTACAGTGCCTGCGATGTCCTATGCTGTCCAAAGTGGGCACATTCGGCTAACGGCAGGTGGTTGTGAATGGCCAAGCGGGCAGCTGCGTCGCGAGTAAGCCACTGTGAGCGAGTCGCACTGTCAGCTGTGGCGGGAGGGGCAGGAGCGGCGCCTGACGCAAGGTCAAATAGCGAAAAACTGTCCTTAGAATTGCCCAGTAGGTACAGCTGTAGGTCGTCGAGCTACGTGTCAAACTGAACCGGTCTGCCCTCATGATCAAACACGAGAACCCTAAGCGAAGCCATAGTGGCGCAGCACGAAGGAGCAGCAGTAGCAGTAGTAGCAGCAGCAGTAGCAGCAGAAGCAGTAGCAGCAGTAGCAGTAGCAGTAGCAGCAGTAGCAGTAGCAGGGGCCGAGGGGCCGGGGGCCTGGTGACGTCGGGCCGCGGGGCCAAGAACTAAGGGGCCGAGGGGCCTTGGGGCTGAGGTCCTAGGGGTCTAGGGGTCGAGGGTCCTAGGGGTCGAGGGGCCAAGGGGCCGAGGTGTCGGGAGGGGGGGAGGGGGGGGGGGCTCGGCTAGGGGAGACGGGGCGACGGGCCGCGGGGCCTGGGCCTTGGTTGGGGGGGGGGGGGGGGGGGGGGGGCGACGGGGCGCGAGGGGCCGTGGGGCCTAGGGGCCGAGGCTAGGGGCGACGGGGCGACGGGCTGCGGGGCCTGGGCCTAGGTTAGGGGGCGACGGGTCGAGGGGCCGCGGGGCCTGGGCCTAGGTTAGGTAGGGGCGACGGGTCACGAGGGGCCGCGGGGCCGAGGGGCCGAGGCTAGGGGCGACGAGGCGACGTGGCCGCGGGGCCTAAGCCTAGGTTAGGGGACGACGGGTCGCGTGGGGCCGTGGGGCCGAGGGGCCTAGGCTAGGGGCGACGGGTCACAACTGGCGACGGGCGACTAGGGTCGCGACGGGCGACGGGGGGCCGGGCTAGGGACGACGGGCAATGCCAAGGGTTTAGGGTTTAGGGGACGGGCCTAGGGGCGACGCCAAGGGGCGACGGGCCTAGGGGCGACGGGCCGGGCTAGGGGTGGCGACGGGTCGGGGCCTAGGGGCGTACGGGTCGCAAGGGTGGCTAGCAGGGCAGCAGGTGGTGGGCCCAAACAAAAACGGTCCTAGATGGGACCTGCTCTGAAACCATGTCAGAAATGAAAGAACGAGAATGAATGAACTATGAAACAGTTGGGTACAAGTACTAACCCTAATTGGGTTGTACCCCTTATGGGCTACCCCACTATAGCCTACACAAATGTAAGCTATATATAAGTTTGACACTGACAGCTCGGGAAAAAGGTAGGGCAGTATAAGGCGGCCGCGAGCAACTGTGGCAGGGGAAGTGTAACGAGCGACTACAGGGTCGTACAGGGCCTTAGCAGTCTTGTGCTGGCCAAAGTGAGCACGTTCGGCTAACGGTAGGTGGTTGCGAACGGCTAAGCGAGCAGCTGCATCAAGGGTAAGCCATTGTGAGCGAATCGCACTGTCAGCTGTGTCGGGAGGGGCGAGAGAGGCTCCAGACGTGTGGTCAAACAATGAAACGTTGTCTCTAGAATCACTGAGTAGGTACAGCTGTAAGTCATCGAGCCACGTATCGAGCTGGATCGGACGGCCCTCATGATCGAATGTGAGAACGCTAAGAGTAGCCATAGCGGGCAGAGCAGGGTGGCGCGTGATGAGCAGGGCGGGGCAGGGCGACGCACGGCCAAGACAGGGCGGCGCGTAGGGCAGGGCAGGGCGGTACAGCGGTTGATCGAGTTCGCCTACAACAAAGCCACGTCAGAAACTACGAAGCAGACGCCGTTTTACCTTGACTATGGGCAGAACCTCACAGTGCCCATGCCGCCGAGCCCAGACAACCCGACGCCACGAGCGCAGTAGTTCGCCGAAATCCTGCGGGCTCCCCGAACGCGTGCAGCAGAGGCAATTACAAAAGTGAATGGTATCGCTAAAAGGAACGCCAACCGCCACCGCCACCCAATCGCGTACCAGTCACGATACTACATTCTGCTCGACACTTAAAACTTACGCCAACCCGTCGCGCCAAAATACGCATTCGCCACTTTGGCCCATTCTATATAAGCCAGATGATCATGCCCATCTCCTATTACATGCCGACTGGTACATCCGCCCATCATTCCACGTCAGTCTCCTTCGACCATACATCCCGACCACCAGCCAACTACCACGACATCGACCACTCTCGATGGCGCGTTTTGCCTGCATCGGAGTCCATCGTCGACCTCGAGATTTTTTTTAGCCATCGGATTCGCCACCTCAATGGATCTGAGAGGATCGAATCGATCGTCCGCTGGAAAGACCACACACCGACGGAAGTCAGTTGGGTGCCTTTGGGCAGCATCGAAAACAACCCTATCCTCCAAGTGTATCGGCGAAGCCAAGGATTCCGCGATATGCACACACTCGCTTAGTGGAGGGGCTTCTTGGGGAGGGGGGTATTGTAAGGAATTTATCAGCATTCCTTACCGCGCACCTCAGCAATGCGTACATGACCAACAGTTTCTTCGCTCGTTAATACTAGCGGTGTTTCGCCATCTTCGCGCGTCACTTTTGCCAAACCTCGTACTGCTGGACTTGGCCGGATCGGCCTATGCTTTGGGAATAGCCCGAACCTCGCTGCCAGCTTTGCACTAGCTAGCTTGCACGCACCGCGTTACCATTTGCGTCTTTCGCTACCAATGTTCGCTCACAAGTTACCAAACATTTGTACTCGTTTGATTCCTTAGTGCATTCTTCACTCGTTCAATTGCACCCGTAACAGTAACTAATCGTAACAAACCGTTATTGACTGGGATTCAACACAGCCCTCTGCATTATACCTTCTCATACCGTCACTGATCACAACTTCACTTTCAATTCGCACCATTGCTACCATATTGCTTGCCTGCTCGCCGCGGAGTCGCGCCTGTGATCCCCGTCACTAGCCATCGCGCTTTGGTGAGCGCATGCACTGTCTCGCTTATTAGTTCCCTGCGCTCTTGCGATCGCATCTTAGTCGCTCCGCATCGCGATACGGTCTCGCTAACGCTCTCTCCCACGTACTCCTCTGCGCGACGAGTTAGCGCTCTTGCAATGCAAACACCGTCCCTCCGCAACTTGCTCCGGGTTCACTGCCTCGCACCCTTGCGCACACCCCCTTGCTGCCCTTCCGTATTGCACACGTGCTACCATTCCGCACTCCCCGTTGCTGCCGTAACGCCCTCTCTCCACGGAATCGCGGCCTCTATTTCAAGCTGCCATTAAGCTGTGCTAACTTCCGCTATCTTCCTCACTCATTCCGCTTTCGCCTTTCCTCTCATTCCGCTGTATCCCTTCCACCAATTCCGCTCTTAACCTTGCTCCCATTCGGCCACCTTCCTTTGCATGCGAGAGTGAGCAGCTCTTTCATGCGCGGACTGTGAGGGTGCGCGCGGCGCCATGGCGGACAGCATTCTCTTCGAGGATATCTTCACGCTCACCGACATGGACGTCGGCGGCAAGAAGTTCGACAAAGGTTCGTTCGCTCTCTCGCTGCCCGTCCTGCGGGTTGCGCGTCTCGCGCTCTTGGCGAGAGGTGGGTGGTGGATGGAGGGGTGTAAATTAAATGGGCGGGAGTTAAGTGGCTCCTTCACACGCCTCCCAGTCTCTTCATTTCCTTCTTCTCTGCTCCCCTCACTCCCCCACACACACCCCCAACTCTCTCTCCCCCACGATTGCGCAGCGAGTTCGACATGCGGCTGTGCTTTAGAAAGCCACAAACCTCTTCTCGCCAGGACCTTACTTTCTTTCTCCCCCCGTCCCCCCCTCCCCTCCCGACCCCCCCCTCGGCCCCTCCCCCTCGCGTTTCCCTCCCCGCATCCCCCCCCCCTTTCCCGCCCCCGTCCCCCGTGCCCCCTGGGCAGTGTCGCGCATAGAGGCGCGCAGCGAGCAGTTTGACATGGCGCTGTCGCTGGACGTGAACACGGAGGTGTACCCGCTGGCCGCAGGCGACAAGTTCACCCTCGCGCTCTCGCCCACGCTCAGCCTCGAAGGCGTCTCCGATGAAGGCGTGTACGACCAGGTGGGCCGTGAAGGGAGGGGTGTGAAATTGAGTGGGAGGCAGATGAAGGGCTGGGCGGCAGATACAGGGATGTGCGACCAGGTGGGCGGCAGAAAGTGGTGTGAGGCCAGCTTGTATGCTGACCAGACGGGTTAGATGCAGGGTATAGGGATATGGTAGGGTTTAAGGTTCACGGTTTAGTTTATTTGTGAAGGTTCAGAATTTAAGATTCACGGATAAGGGTTCAGGGGTTTAGCATCAGGGTTTAGGTGACTCGAATGAACAACCGGAGGAGGTATCTTATGGCACATGCATGACAATGGGTTCGTCACTGATGCTCTCCCACCCAGCCTACAAAGCATGGTGGGCAGCACAGTCACAATGTTGAACACAAGCGAGGGCAGAATACTAGACAGCACTGCTGAGGTATGTGTGTGTTTCAGTGCAAGCCTTGGACAGGTGAGGAGGTCTGTGGTCAGATAACAGTATAGTATGCACTAGGCACGGTTTGTACCCCATCAGGGGTGCAGGGAAAAGTTTGGATAACAAAATATGGGAAAGGTTTTTGCAGGCAGGCTGTCAGACACTGCAGTTGAACGCACAAAGAGGGTCGCAATATCCCGGCATGCCCTCTCAGAAGCGGTGCCTCAGCATGTGAGCCTTCATCCTCAGCATGTGAGCCTTCATCCTCAGCATGTGAGCCTTCATCCTCCACCCTCTTCTCCACCGTGCCTCCATGCCTTTCCCTCCACCCCTCTACCCTCTCCCACGCCTCCACGCACGCACCCACCCCCTGCGTGGAAATGACATGCATGCAGTTGGAGTGGCGCTGTTCAATGGACCACTATGAGTACGTGATGTACGGCCAAGTATGAGCCTCATGCCATTGCCGCCCTCTGTGCTCGATCCCTCCCTGCCTGCACGCCATCCCTGCAGTGGGGGCGGCGGTCACTGATGGACCACTATTAGTACGTGATGTAGGGCCTAAACCCCCTCTACCCCGCCCCCTTTCCCCTTCCCCCCCCCCCCCCCTTCCCCCCCTTCACCCCCACTGCGTGCCACTCTGTCCCTGCAGTCGGGGAGGCAGTCACTGATGGACCGCTACGAGTACGTGATGTATGGCAAGCTCTACAAGTACAGCGACGCCACTGGCAGCGCCGCCGACGCGTGAGTCCCTCTGCCTGCTGCCTCCTCTCTCTCTCAATGCTTCTCTCATTCACCTTTGTGCTCGCCACACGATCTGGAGACACTGTAGTTCAGAACACTCCTGGTCGTGCTGGTGGCTTAGCGTGTGTTTTGGTGAAAGCATGAGCTTTGATGCTATGCATATTTTCTGTAACAGCGCCCTGCTATTCGATTCCTGCCTGGTACCGAATGCTACCCGGAAGCCATTCTGTCCCTATGCTTGTCAGTGCAGTGCAACGTCTCGTCCTTGACTTTGTTGCTGATTCATTATCTTCTTTCTGCTTGCATTCTCCCCTCCTTGCGGCTGCTGCTTGCAACAGCGAAATCTACGTCTCATTTGGTGGTTTGCTCATGCGCTTGGCTGGGGATAGCACAAACCTAAAAGATTTCCATATTGATCAGCGGCTGTATATTCTTATTAGAAAGGTCTAAACTGTTTCATCTTATGCTGCGTAGAGTGCTATGTATGTTCTTACACGTTCTCAAGATGTATGAATCACATACAAATTATACGGAACAAGTCCAGTCCAGACTGCCCTTTTTCTTTTTTCACAGGCACAAATCAATATTTTATTGCTGAGTACAACTTAAGCACCCACTAACCAAACGTACAACTGTAACAAGTGTATAGAACGAGTGAGTACGATCGAAAATGAATGGGAAAATATTTCAATGGTAACTTACATGGGGCACTATAACGCGTACGGTAACGATTTCAACACGTTTGGTAACTCCGCTAACGCGTTTGGTAATTCGCATAACACGTTTGGTAACTCGCTTAACGCGTATGGTAACTATACACTAGCAGCCCATCACGCGAATGGTAACTACATGAAACTCCCGCCGAAATGATCCTGACAAAAAAGGAATTTATCAATTGTGAAAGCGTTTACGCCAGGGCCTCAGATATCAGGAAAGAAACCCTGAAATTCCTGATTTTGGCAGTCCATTCTCAACCTACCCTGAAAAACCAGTGTTAAGATTTTTGTGGGACTGATCTTTCAGCCTTTTTTGTGAGGCCACACTGAAATTTCAGTTTTTTTTTTCCAAGTACACTGATGCCACAACGTTGAAACGAAACTAACACTGAAAGCGATTCTTACCTGTGTCGTGTGGATTTGACCGCAATTACAGGGAATCTCAGATTCCCGTGGTGAAGGCACCGCGGGGCAAGACGAACCTGTGGAATTTTGCCTCCAATTCACGATTGAGCGGTGCTTTGTTGGCGCGGCGCCACACATCATTGGGCCGTTTTGCTGCAGCATCTTTTCTTGGCCAATCCGAACGTGGCCAGTGGCCACCATGTGGTGCTGGAGGGCTGCCAACGTTCCTGCCCTGTTGACAACCCAGCCCATGCACCGTGGTTGCCATCCAAGGGCCCCTTCTTCTCCAAGCTTTGCATCCGAAGCTGGGTTTCCCCCTTTCTTCCTAGTGTACCACCAAGAGGCAGCCAGCCGTGGCCTATGCTTTTTCTGGAAACAATTCCTCTCATTGTTGCTAGCTTAGATGTCAGGATGTACCCGCTGCTCACCATGGTGGAACACCTTAACGGCACGGAAACAAACGGCGAACACGGCGGTCAGGCGCATCGCCAGCCGCTTGTAGTCCGTTCTGAAGCAGTTACGGGCCTCGATTTATTGTTTTCGAGCATAGCGGAAGTCAACGACAACGAGAAGCCACCAGATCCCGAGCCGCCCGACAAAATCCCGTTCGAACACATCGATGAGGAGGGTTGGTGTGCATCCCCGACAGCGCCAGTCACGGAGCAGGACAGCTCGCCGCCTCCAGCTGAAAAACTGGCTCCCGAACCCGTGACCAAGAAATCCAGCCGATACATGCAGTCAAGGCTGCCATGGTTTACAAAGGGGGCTGACGACGGAGCTACCCTGCCGTCGCCAGCCGATCAACGGTCGTCGCCCGTGATTGCCGGCCCACAGGAGTCGCCATCGGTTCCTGGTCCTTCTAAGCAGTCAGGACGCGACGAGATTTACGCTGAGTGTCTGTATAAGTACAAGACCGAGTGGCTAGACAGGTTTTCGTGGCTCATTCTTTTGCGGCAATCTGACGGTCTCCCAGCTTTCAAGTGCTCTATCTGTACCGAGCATGCAGGTTACGCTGGAAAGTGCGGGAAGGGCGGGAGGGGCGCGTCGGACGTAAAGACGCAAGCTTTCAAGAGGCATGCTGCAACAACGAAGCACAAAGAGGTGGTCAAGCACCAGGAAAAGCTTCTTGCTGAAGCTGGCCGGCAGCCACGGATCAACGGTGACAACCTCGCTCGCGACACCGAGAAGGAACGCGTCATCGCGCTGTGCGACTCTCTGCTCTTCGTAACCAAGCTCTGCTCTTCGTAACCAAGCAAGATGCACCCATTGAGTTATGGGTGAATCTTGTTCGCTATCTCGCGGCGAAGAAGGTTCCGGGATTCCCCGCGAAGGGATACGGAACCTATTACACAACGTGAGTACCCGCTGTCAGATATTGTTCGTGATGTTGCTTTTGTTTACCTTTTGTGTAAGCACTAACATTGGCTCACATGCTCCACAGGTACGGCTTTGGGCAACTAACACAAGCGATTGCCACGTGGTTGCACACAACGCAACTCCAGCACCTCCTTACAAGTCCTTACATCGGAATTACATGTGACAAGAGCACGGACCGGTGCCGGGGAAAGCACATGATCATATTCGCGACCTTCATCGGGGAGAATCGCATCGTCACCGAGATCCTTGCCCTTCTGACCGTGGAGAAGTGCGACGCTGCCTCTCTACTCTACGTGTTTGTGTCCCACCTGCATGCCCTCGGCATCGAGATTGCCAAGATCTCTGGTATGAGCACCGATGGCGCGAGTGTGATGATGGGAAGCAAGAATGGTCTTGTCGCTCGACTGCGCCTCCGCATACCGCATCTCGTCTCAAGCCACTGCATAGCCCACAGGTACGTTCGCTTTTGTTCTAGCGGGAATCCTGATTATCCATATCTCGGCCTTGCTGATACCCCGTGTTGCATGTTTGTGTTGTGATGTGCCTGCAGGGAGGCCCTCGCGGCAAAAGATGCAGCGGATGCAATCCCCGAGTTCGACATGGTGGACGGGCTGATCCGTCAAGTCGCTGAGTATCTCGGCCGTTCCAGCCCCTGGCACCAACGATTTTTGGAGTTGCAGGAACTCTTCACGGCTACGAATCTGGAGCTTCAAGGCATTCATCAAGTCCGCTGGCTCTCCAGGGGTGATGCCGTTCTGCGAACGGTGGCGGTCTTCCCTGCGCTCATCGTCATGCTGTCTGAGTGGGACGAAACTCTGTACCAGCTCGCCACCAGCTACAGGTTCCATTTCTTGTTGTTCTTCCTTACAGACGTGCTCGAGCAGCTGAACATCTTGAACAAGTCCTTCCAACAGCGAGAGGTGAGCAACAAGTCCTTTCAGCGTGTGCTGCACTTCTCATGATGTCTAGTTTTTGTATGCGTGACTTCTTTGCGTGTATGTCAATGCATTTATATTGTGGGAGCTTAAGCACAACACATATTGTTTGATAAATCACCCCCCTGGCTCACTTTCCTTGTGTCCCTCTGTGTTATTTCTGTCGCCCTCTCATAGCTTGACATCGTAGGTGTCCATGAGCAGATCAGGAGAACCATGTCTCACCTGGAGACCCGCTACGTCGACTGCGGCGATGATTTTGGAGGCGGGTTGAGTGCGCGCCTGTCCCCGTTCATCTTGAAGTACGGGCCTGACAGTGACAAGCCCGAGGTGACAGTGTAGGGTGTGGACTCTGACGGTCGGCCGACTACACACAAGTTCCAACTGCATGAGAACCCAAGCGAGGACTACCCAACTCTGGGAACACACGACGCCTGCGTTGATCTCTGCACAGCATTTGCCGAGACGCTCGTCAAAAACCTCAGCAAGAGGTTTGAAGACTTGGACAACCTGGTGGGAGTGAGGCTCTTCATGCCAGACGAGTACCCGCCTGGGAGAGCGGAGCGCCACAAACAGTGTGTCGAGTGGCTCATGTCACTCGTCTCGCTGTTCAGGGCACAGGAGACTGACGACATCCTTCCAGGTACTCGCATTTTGTGCACCCTTGTTGTCCATGATTCTCTTTGTTCCTATGTTTCAATAGTGCCATGCCATGCATACACGGGTATACCATGCCAAGCCATCCAATCTAACTGACAATCTCCCTTCTGTTTTGTGTGGCAGGGATCGACAAACTGCGGGCGATGAAAGAACTGCGTGCCTTCTGCCCCATCCTCGCAGGTGCCCCGAATAACGAGCGAAGCTTCCACGCCGGGCTAACAGCGATGCTGAAGACAAGCGATTGGACGACTAGCTACCCCAACCTCGTGCGTCTCTGGGTGGCTGTCGCAGTGCTGCCGCTGAGCACAGTGGAATATGAGCGCGGGTTTTCCCGCCAGAATATCATCAAATCGTGGCAGCGTGGGAGCCTCAAAGACGCTCGGCTTGAAGATCTCGTCACGATGTCGCTCCTCGACTACGAGCCTGACTACAACGAACTGGTGAAAATCTGGCGCAGCTACAAGAAGCGCCGGCCATTTGGCAATGTGGCAGCACCTCTAGCAAGAGAGGGGGAGGGAAGTGGCAGGGGAAAGGAGGCACTCGAGGAGTGGGAAGAACCAAAGGCGCAGGGGAGTGATGATGAGTCTGATTCCGATGCTGATACATGGATGACTCCTATTAGATAAAAAGAGCAGCTGCTCTTTTCTAGGAAGCTACTGTAGTAACTGTACTCCTGAATTTTAAATCAAGACTTTATAATAGTTTCAGCTTTTTTACTAGTGGAACCCTGATGGATCAGTCTTTTTTTTTAGCACAACACTGTCATTTCAGGCTTTTTTTTTTAGGAACACTGTCAATCAGAGTTTACACGCAAGGGGACCCTGAAGGGTATACGACCCTAAAAGTGAATCTGAGGCCCTGGTTTACGCACAGTTTTATCTTTCTTGAACAAGTCCCGCCGCGACTTTGAAGGACCTCGTTTGTTATATTACCATGGACCGAAAAGTTTCAGAGGCGTTTTATATATATATGTAGCTGTCAAACTTATATCTGCTATAGTCTATTTAGGTTGTAGTGGGGTAGATCTTAGAGGGTACAACACTTATGTGTTTCCTACTTGTACCCATCTCATTTCTAGTTCATTCATTCTTTCATCAATTCTTCTCACATGGTATAGAGCTAGTTTCGAGTTTTTTTAAAAGGGCCCACCACTGAAATTTTTCACTGCCTGCTCGACGCGCGCGTCGCGCCTTCCCTTCGAGGCCCGTCGCGGCCCCTGCGCCTGCCCTTAGAGCCAGCGCCGGCCCCGTAAGGCCCCGTAAGGCCCCGTTTACGGCCCCGTTTAAGGCCCCGTAAGGCCCCGTAAGGCCCCGTTTACGGCCCCGTTTAATGCCCCGTAAGGCCCCGTAAGGCCCCG